ATGACTGCAAGACTGACAAAGCCAGGACATAGACACAGAATGACGTCAACGATAGATACAAGAGAAGACCTTAACGGATCAGGAAACAAGTAGCGAAAGAACAAGACCGAAGATGACGACCGATAACAGAAGGAAGAACGGAGCCAAGAACTGACAACAAGCGAACAGGGACGTCGACTGATAACAGAAGAACAGGACATGGACTGGTAACAGCAGAACTGACAACAAACGAACAGACACAGGGACCGATAACAGAAGAACTGACAACAAGCGCATGAGACGAGGACCCCTAACAGAAGGACAGGACATGGATCGATAACAGAACTGACAACAAGACAACGGAGACGAGGACCGATAACACAGACTGGAACCGATAACAGAAGAATTGACAACAAGAAAACGGAGACCAGAACTAATTACAGAAGAAAAGAGACGAGAACCGATTACAGAAAAACGGAGAAGAACGAAGGCGAGAACCGATAACAGAACAGCACAGGGACCGATAACAGAAGACTTGACAATAAGACAACAGAAACGAGGACCGGTAACAGAACATCTGACAACAAAAGAACTGAGACTAGGACCGATGACAGAAACACTCACATCAAGAGAACTTCGACGAGGACCGATAACAAAAGAACGAAGACGACGACCGACGACCAATAACAGGAAAACGAACACCAACACCCAAGAGTAATCAGAGAAAGGTGCTTTTAATAGGAATCTGAGTAGCAACTTTTTATGCATAGAGTGCCAAATAATATACATGAAAGCTGTATATCTAGCACACAGGGCAGGGAAGAGTGTAGTGTTCGCTGCGTAAATGCCTTAAATTTTTCAGTACTATCTTTAATATTACATGTACTTCTATTTTATTGGCCTATAAAAAATGTCCACCATCTTGGATTTTTCAGCAATATTGGATTGTTTTGTTTTAATTTTGTTTTGGTTTCTTATTTGTTTATACCTAAACATGTTTTGTGGAATTTACTTTTTTGGTTTTTAAAAGTTTTATTTGTATATATCATTTTGAAAAAGAATTTGGGGGTATTTTAGTGATTTTAAATGGATTTCAAGGGTAAAGTAAGGGTTTTAAAATTTGGTATCCCCTTTTATCGATTCAGAAAACCTTAAAATGGGGTAAAAACCCCAAGATCACCTGTATAAAAATCCCTCTAGATCTTATGGGATAAAATTCTAAAATCAGTCCTGTCTAATATCTGCGATTATATGTTGGTTTTTAATACGTTTTTATTAATTTTGTGATTACTTTGTGTTTTGGAGATGTCTTTAATTTTGTTTTTATATTTTACAAAGAAATTTTTTTTAAATTTTTTTGTAAAAAATTTGGCATTTGGAAAATCCAATGACTTAGATTTGGTAAACGGGGGGATAAAAAAAACAAAAAAAACAACAACAAATCATATCCAACAAACCCCAAAAAACGAATCACAAAAACAAAAAAATATCGCAAATAAATTTGATCCATGTTGTGTCCCGGAAAAATTAAACGAAAATGCAAAATCTCGTACACATGTATACCCCTGGGCACAGGCTTAAGCATTGTTCAACGTTTAACACGAAAATGTATTTTCACTAAATGAACACAGTAGTGAAGAACGAGGACACGTTTTACAGGTGCCACTGACTGTAATATCCGTATGTTGCACAAAGTGTCTTTTTGAAATTGTTAAACATGTATCAAAATGTTTTGTTTTGATTGGTTAAGTGATAGTCACGTGATGTTTGTCATAAATATGTTCTGATCACGTCGTTACTTTTGTGCGATATTAAATAATATAGGAGTAAACCCGTTACTAAGGTGACGAAGTATTCGTTTATAACGGCGTGTAAATATTACACCTCATGACAATTTACGTATTCATTAAAACATACATGTATGTTGTTCGAAAAAAAGAGAACGAAACCAAAAGCTATAATAAGGACACCTGACAATAAATATGACGAACTTTATACATGCATGCTGTATGTATTCTTCAAACATACGTTATTGTATTCTCGTGATGACCATTTTGCTTAAAAATCTAATTTAGAATCAAAACTCAAAATGCTAGTATTTTTTTAGTTTTGTTTTCAAAATTTCTTTAGTTACAGTTTCCGAAGCGGTATTCATTGACCATGTAATTGACCATCCTTAAAAAGTTTGCTTTTGTTACAGTTATTGTGATATTATAATACCTCTTCGTACTTTTGTGACACAGTATTTGACATTCAACGCTAATTTCTTCATAAAATCAAGATCAGCATCTGAAATACACTAGATAAATTACATTTTGTTTGTTTGTATTATACATTATGAAATGCAGGTGTGCCTCCATATTAATTTACGATGCTTTTAAACTAGCCCTTGAGTATTTCAATAGAAAGCTCACGGGGAATGGTGGCCTAATGGTTAAGGTGTCTGTCTCTCAACCAAGGGATCATGGGTTCGAGTCCTACTTGGGTCACGACCATGTTTCTATCTATGACACTAGTACTTGTTGGTTTCAGAAAGCGGGCTCGAAAGTGATTAATATAAGTTGCAAGTACTTGTTTCGCAATCGAGCTTCAATATGTTTAAACCAAGAAAGCTTACGAGCTTCTACATTCGTTTCAGTTTCTTTCATTTTTTTCGGTTTCAAATCCCTATTCATATCTTATCCTAATACTTTTTCATAACTTTCAGACAAAAAGATCGTATATATTTATTTCCAAGGAAAATTGTTGCGTTACCAGATATTGGTACATCAATGTAATGTTCTTTATAACACGTGGCATTTCTTTATCTTATTATTCCGGTTGCAATGTAAATCAGTGAGTATTTAAAATATGTTTTACGCATCAAAGACATTTAAATCTAATGTATGATTTAAATAACTTAAGTGAAGAACGACGATATTGTTTTTAGTCAACCATTTCCTGCTTTAAAAGACCAAGGTCACGCCCAAAGTGTCTGTGTACTCTTTCATAGGTCAAGGTCATGTCCAAAGTCTGTGTACTCTCTAACAGGTCAAGGTCACGTCCAAAGTCTTTGTACCCTCTAATAGGTCAAGATCACGTCCAAAGTCTCTGTAATGACCCAATGTAACGTCAAAAGTTGCTGTGCACTCTTGTACTTTCAGATTAATTCGATCTCACCTCAAGTTCGAAAATATTGTTAACAGGACAACAGGTGTCATTCGTTTCTTACCAAAGTGAGCCGATTTTATATTACAGTACAATTTGTTTCTATTTCATTGTTTCTTTTAACAATGAGATCTTTCTAAGCTAGTTTATAGACTCTTAATTTTGTATACATGTCGTCGGAGCACATTATTTGTTGCTCTATCCAGCTGGTATTTTGTTTTTGACAAATGTCTGTTACAAATAAATAATTAATATTTCATTCCAAAGTTACGGTAACAAAATCTTAAGAAATAATTAAAATTGATTAAAATTGTGTATTTAGCATATAAGGGTCATGGGTCAAGTACAATAAACGCCAAAAATTGAGCAATAATTTTAATAAAATTAACAAACATAATATAGAAACGACATTTGGTTTATTTTGAAATATTCAAAAAACATAAACACAAAATGTACGAATGTAAATAAAAAAAAAATCATTACAGTATATATACTTTGCCATCGTTTATGCAGACTAATTCATTACCAATTTATAGGAGTCTTTGTTTATATGTTGAAATCATGTATTAAATACACTAGTAAATGAAGACTTAAAATAGAAAAATATATATGAAAGAATTGGAATTATATATTTAATCAAAATCCGCCCATTCCGCTCATTCCGCTCATTGAGCCCATTCCGCTCATTCCACCTGACATAAAATCACCTGCATCTCCTCCGGAGCCACCCATCATGCCCATCATGCCGCTAGCGCCTCCTCCCATCATTCTTCCAAAACCTTCACCGGAACCTCCCATCATGCTTGAAAAATCTCCTCCTGAGCCACCCATCATACCTCTCATCATGTTTCCCATTCCCCCGCCGGAGCCCCCCATCATACTTCCGAAATCCATACCAGATCCACCCATCATGCTGCTAAAACCCCCGCCTGAACCTCCCATCATGCTGCCGAAATCCCTTTCTGAACCTCCACCCATCATATTTGCAAAGCCGCCCCTTCCTCCTTGTCTACCGCCAAAAGAAGTTGACATTTCACGAACCATTTTCGAAATTTCACTCATAAATGAGGGATTACCAGCCGCACCTGTTCCGCTCGTTGCGGCACCAGTACCAGCGCCAGCTGCCTGTGAATTCATGAATTCTGCCGCATATTGCATCCAATTCCGTCTTCCACCACTACCAGTTTGGCATTCACCTTAAATAAACAATCAAATAATTACCTATTCTGCAATTGATATACATAATATTATATGATACACTACTAGCTTATTTGAAGTAACCAGTTATTGCTCATAACAGCGAATTTTGTAAAGTAGTCCGGTAGGCATAAATCCGCCTCTGCTCTGTTTGATTTTAGCCTATTTAAGGTATAAAGGTACGTACACAAACGAGTTGCATTCTAATATTGTATAGATCCATCATGTACACATGTTTATGTACAAAAATGAGTTGTAATCTTAAATTGAATGTCTGTAGGTAATAAACATGTGCGTGTGCACTCTTTTTGAGCATTAAGGTATGTGAAAAAACGGGTTGCGCTTTGAAATTGAACGAATTTAGGGTTTAGATAAGTGTGAAAGTCACTCTTATATTCTACTTAACAGTTCTGTAAATAAGTTTGTACTAAAACGACTGTTACTCTTATTATATAAAAACGGATATGTCCCATATTGTATCAATATCTACCCTAATATTTACATCAGTTTTAGAATACTAGCTCATTGTTGAAATTCTAATTATTTTAGTTTTTTGTTACTTCAAAGGATGTCTTTATTTTATCATTATAAGTCTAATAGTGTTTAAAAAATCGAAATCATTAAGATGCATTGTAAAACTGAAAGTAATCTACCAGCGATTTAAATTGCCAAAAGATCTTGTTGCTAAATCAAATAGTTCGCAAATTTATGTGTTATTTTTAAACAATTCTAAAATGCAAACAAAATTGTGATTTATCAAAATCTTTTCAAGTTTCAAGTTCTCTCTGTGAGAATCCATTTTATCCATCATTTTCTTCCGCGTTTCATTGCCGTTTGGGTGGAGTTTGCAAAGTCGCTTTGCAATGTATTGAGCAAAAAACATGTTGCACAATAGCTCTCCCCTAATTGAATGGCTCTATTCATATAATGCTTAGGTAACCCATTTTACAGTGTATCTTCCATGCAACAAATATGTATATATTACTTGTATACATGTATTAATAAGTTTATATTAAGTCGCACCACATATTGTTTTGCCCTCAAACCTCAATAATTGCAGTATATTAATAAACACTAATAATTCGTTATTCATATTTTAAAACAAAAGCATTGTTTTTCTACAAAAAAGATTTAAACAAATAAAAAAATATATAAAATAAAAATAACAAATAATAATAGCTTACCTTTCTGTAGAAGAACTACAAGAACTAAAATACAACTAGAGCTTATTCTTAGCATGTTTAAAGCTGTGGTTTGAAATGAACTCTGCAACTAACAAAAGTGGGGATACTTTTCTTATATATTCCTGTCACATGTAATATATGTATGTCTTTTTTATTATATATATTATATGATTGTATTGCGTTTTAGACGGTTAAACCTATCAAAGTGTCTTGGTGATATAACGACTGTAATAGGTTAAACAAGAAGTCAAGTTGTCAGTCAGGACACATAAAATAAACATTTATACGTTAGTTGTAACAAGATAGTCTCGTTAAAATGTCTCACACGTGAAGTGTATTTTTTCTGTTCCGAATCACATGTGCATGTACTTTTAAAAGTACTTTGGAAGTCGAGAAATCTCCAAAGAACAGTATTTTTTGCTCGTTTATTACTGGAGCAATGCATAAAAATGAGTATGTTTTTAACATTTAACTTACGGGAAAACGCACAATTTTATTCAGTTAACAATATATTTCAATTAAATAAAGATTGATCATGATTAGTTTTTTGCGTTGTTTAAACAGTTTTATTTCGTAACTATGTGCCAGTCCCCCTAAAAAACTTTAAATATACAATTTAAAGGCCATTTCTCCATCGTAACAAGTCTTAGAACGACATTAAAACTAAAAGTAAGTAAAAAAAAATACTAGTATTTTAAAATAAATGGGACATGCTTTTTTTTAAAGAAGTTGTGTTCAATATATTCTTTCTAGTTTTGTTACATTGTGTCTAATTCAATTAACTGTCTATTGTAACTTTTAATACAATCAAAATAGTGAACCATTTTTCTTTGTATTTTTTATTTTTCTTTTGTTCCAGGCTTCTTTAAGCTATGCAATTATTCTTGAACTAATTATTACTGGATATCAAATGAGAAATATTCAAATACAAATGATCAACACCTACGTTTCTTTACATGTGTTGCACTTACAAAACATACACGCTGACCATGATCACATCTGTACGCTGGCTTGTGTAAAAACGTTAACGTCATTGTCACGTGATCATTTGTCAGCACTTGAGAAACGTGACTTTCAAGACTGTTATATCATCGTATATAGAGGATATTCAAGTTTCTTCTATAAATACAGGATTTTATTTTTATCGAGTGGTATGAAAAGAAATATTTCACACTAGTGACATATGATACTTTTCATACCCCAAGACGAAAATAAAAGCTATATTAATATTGAAATACTTGAATTTTCTGTTTGTTATATACTTTTTCTCTTTTCTAACCTAATGAATAGGTAGAATTACCTTTTAATTTTGTGTTTTGGCGAATTTAAGAAGAAAGAAGTCCGGAAAAACACCAGTGAAAATACGGAAAACATATTTCACTGCAGTGAAAAATATTTTTACAGTCAAAATACGGAAAATAAAAATACGCATTTTAATTCATCAATATTTCTCAATATTGCATTTATAAAAATATAATAAAAATAATTATCTTTCGGGTAAAGCAGATCAAGTAAACACATTGAAATACAAGACCGGATAAAGAATACACTTTTATTTGTAAAACGAAAAGTACTGATTATAAAATGAAGGAAATATATATAAAAATAACATATCAATAATAAGTCCGTCTCGCTTACTTCTTTTTATTTAAAAAACAGCAACAAAACTGTGGACATGGGATATTAAAATGTCATTGATCAAATGAAGTTAAAGGTCAAGGTGATAAAGCAGTATCATTTAACATCATAATGAAATGTTTATATAAGTTATAACTAATATAAAAAATTGCCATCATACGGTACACGTGCATTGATACTGACCGTATATGCAAATCAAACTGTTTATACAAATTATGCTGGAACAAAACAGATCACATAGAGTTTAGCGGACCCCGGGAGATAAACAATATTTACTCGCTTTGCTAAGTAGTGTCGACGCCCCAACATCAACGCTGTTATTACATTTTTTTTTAAAATTTTTTATACAACAGCAAAAATCAACACAACATTCAGATCGATTGCTCGTATCGCCCTGCGACTTTTCCAGGATCCGCTTCAAATTGAAATAAGTATTACATGATCACAATAGAAGATTAATACAATTAAAAGTTATGTTTATAAACAGTACAAATCATATATGAGCCGCGTCACGACAAAACCAACATAGTGCGTTTGCGACCAGCATGGATCCAGACCAGCCTGCGCAGTCTGATCAGGATCTATGCTGTTCGCTTACAAACCCTATTACAAGTAGAGAAACTGATAGCGAACATCATGGATCCTGATCAGACTGCGCGAATGCGCTAGCTGGTCTGGATCCATGCTGGTCGCAAACCCATTATGTTGGTTTTGTCGTGGCTCGGCTCATATATATTTTGTGCATAATTGAAATATTTAAGAATTCTCTCTTATAAACTCACTCAATCATTAGCTAAACAAACGATCTTTATTAGAAATCACTGCAAAACCTACCTATCACAATTTGTTAGAAAAATTTATATTTTGTCATCCATATGATACATTTATATACCTACTGCCTGTACAAATATGTTTATGCAAATAAAATGTATGTGTCTATTTATTCTAATTGTAATAAAAATCTTATCAAACACTTTTCAAAATATATTGATCAATATTTCTTAATCATTTGACCTTTGAGAATTATACATTTATACATTAATTTGTGATGAATTGACTGCAACGCTTTTAATTTTCAACACAAAATATTCAGAAGCTAATTATTTTTCAGATACACAGAAATTATTTCACAAATAAATGTTACCAGTAATGAATTTTCGATAAAAATTGATATAACTTCACAAAAAAGTATCACCAGTTGTTGAACATCCGGAAATACAATATATACACAAAACAATGTCATTAGCGGGAAAAATTGAACATGAAATACATTAAACATTTAAAACACATTCTTTTGATAATGAAGATGCTTAGATAGATTCATGTTAATATATGATTAAATTTCTCGTAGAAAAAAAGCGTACAAATAAAAATGAAAGTATTTGCTTGTTTACAAAAATATGAATACTAAGCCACGATTACCAAGTGAAAAATCAACATTATAAACGTGCAGCATTACAAAACTGTGGTATAATACAGTCTAACCCGGTCATTTGACCCTGTGAAGACCTTGACTGGACACAATTTAAACCTAAGTCTCGTGATTTTTCCGTTACGCAAGAACACCATGGGATTATTTTTCCATATCAACGTAAATATTTATGCATCGTCAATCTAGAACTATCGCGTTAAGATATAATTCAAAGTTTCTATCAAATAAGTTAATATGATGATGACTTTACAAGGCTGATACAATACACAGTGTGCTTTTACAAAATGAATGATTACATGCTACTATTTACATTTGTTTAGATACATACGTTAAATAAATGAAATAAAAATACATTACATGCCTAGAAATATGTGATTGTGACTATATAAGATTACATATGTTTTTCTGTCAATCAATATAAATACATGTATTTGTTCTGCAAAAACGTTTTTGTCCATTACAAATAACTGTTATACACTTAGTCAATTAGCTATCACCAATCAATCTTTGTCAATTTTTAAGTATTGGCGTATAAATTTTCTTCCTCGGCTCCAAATCCTGTATTCACGTAAATAGCTGAAAATAGAAAATAATACACTAATATACCATCATGGTAAAACAAAATAAAACTTTGCATAATCTATTTATCCTGTTCTTACATAATACTATTGTTTAACCTTTGCCCTTTTGGCGGCTGTGCGATAAGTCTAGACCAAAATCAGACGTAACAGCAGTTTCGTATAATCATTGTCTGTACTTGGCGCTATTCAGTAAGTCCTTATTAATTTCCCCCAAATATTGAAAAGGCGTTTCACATAAAAAAACCAAACGATAAATTACATTTTCTCCGAGCATAGATTGATTGCACAATTGATCTTCAGGAGATTTTAATTACGAAAGGCCGATTTCAACTTCTTGGATTCCCGGATTTATATTCACGAATTCACGATTTTCAACATACATAATTCACAATTTCAACTACAGAATTCAAGAATTCAACTTCATAAATTCACAATTCAACTTCATGAATTCACGATTTCATCTTCACGATTTCAACTGATTTCAACTTCACGCATTCACGAGTTCAACTTCATGAATGCACGTTTTGAACTTCAAGATTTCAGCTTCGTGAATTTACAATTATGAATTCGTGAAGTTAAAATCGTAAAGTTGAAATCGAGAATTCATGAAGTTGAAATCGTGAATTCTTGAATTCTGTATTCACGAAGTTACAATTTTGAATTCACGAGGATAAAAAGTTGAAGTTGAAAAAGGAAAATCGGATGCATTCGAGGTTTGATATCCATATCCTAAATAATAGCAGTGATATAAATGTTAAATGCCTTAAAGATAAACGTTTTTACCTTCATCATCGTCTTCTTGTTCTTCTTCCTCTTGTTGAGTTGTGATGAACGACTTAATACATTCGTGAATGTAAATGTACTGGTCCTTAAAATATAGTATAAGAATTACATTTTACAGCTTGTCGCCACGGTTTATGATTTAAAAAAAAGACAATAAGGTGAAGTATATATTTAATGATTAAGTGTAGTTCATATAAATAAATATAGTATTGGAAATTATAATTACTGCGTAAAAAAAAGTCCGTAAGATTGGTTCATCATTTACACATTACCAAAACAGTTCCAATGGAAATGATGTCTTATCTCGTAATAAAACACACCTTTTTAAAGCAAGTATTGTAAAACAAAATATGTGCTATTAATGCGTTATGACCTATAAGTAACAAATCTGATCGATTTAACAAGCTTTTTTTGCAGAGAAGCATCTCTTTGTTCATTTTGTCAAGCAGGAACAGTCATGATATTGCAACGGTATTCGAAACCACATATGGTACAGGCAAAGGTGATTTTGAGCTACCACTTTGCTCTTAACCATACGCTTTTAAATACATAGGTAATAGTCATATGAGTGACAGTAACAGATGATATAAGTTATATTACCTCTGTCTGCACCATGTTCAATCGATTGTTTTTTCTCATTTCAAGGACAAGATTAAATATATCCACCTCGTCGTGAATGCTTTTGATCATGTTTGCACACAAATAATCCACGGCTATAAATGTCCCAGTACGACCTACACCAGCACTGTAACATTATAGTTTGGCTTAATATTTAAGTACAATTGAAAACAAATAAGAGTTGAATTAATAGAATGGGTAGCACATTCTCTGCAAAACTGTTTTTTCTATACTTCGATTAAATTATTGTGCCTTAGAAAAGCGCGTTCTTTGAAATCCAAACACAAGTTTATTACAATGAACATTACGCCTAAAAGTTGTAAACATTGCAATATTAAATGTTTTTGGTGTTGGTAAATCAACTACTCTGGCTACCTACTTGTATGAATTTCCCTACCCAAAATTTTAAAAGTCATACATCATTTCACAACTCCACGATAAGATTTAAATAAAATATTTAATCAATGTTTTATATTTGTAGAGATGTAACTACAGTAAGGGGATTTAAACAGTTTATAACAGCATACAGTAAGCACATACCATAACAAAGTGTCCCTTATAAATAATACAATTATTTTTCTACCGTAGAATTATGGGGTGATTACTTTCAAACATAAATTAAACGTTTTACTAACTATGGAGAAATGTATTATCCTAATTCAAAATGGGCAGAAAAAAAGATGATTAACTGAATGCAATAACAAACATGATAGAATTTTTGTTGTTGGGTGTTACGTTACGTCTCACCAGCCCTTTAAATGACACATTGCAACGTTCAAGCTTTACCTGTGGAGGAAGACCTAAGGTGCCCCTCCGTGCATTGTTTCAGAGTGAAAGTGCTTCGAGTAGAACCACGGACGTTCCATACGGTAGCTGGCTAGGATTAGATGTTAGTTAAAGTGGAAATGACATGATTAAAATGTCCTTTTTTGTTTATTCAGTTGTATATTAAAATAATGATCATAACTTTAAAAACAAAGTGAAAGAAACTATTTTATGCTTAATGCTAAATAATTATACAAAAACCTTCGTAACATTTCCCTTTATTACTTTATAAATCTTAAACCTGCAATGGACAAATCTGGGGCCCCATTCCCATTGATGTTTGGGCTGTTCCCCCGATTACTATACTGGTTTAGAACAGCTTTTACGAACTCTAGCAATAGTTCTGGGGTTTCAGGACAACCCATATCTGGCCATTTCAAATAACTAAAGTGACGAACCATTTTCCGTTGCGTTTTCTTTATGTGCAGATGCATTAAAATGTAAAATAACATGGATAAGCAAATGTTGTGTTGTTGAATTTATTCCAGACAGACATAAAACATGCATCACTTTCTGTTTCAAGTTTAGTCCATGAAATCTGTTTTGTTTACTCTGACAATGACTGTTAGGGAGAGAGGGTAGGTTTTAGATTTCGTGTCGGATTTACTTGCCGTCTGTTTCGTTAATTTTTATTCAATCTATTACATCAAAATACGAATGTCTTTTAAAATACATGTGCCATATCTCATTATTTCCACTTAACAGCATGCACGTTTTCTCAGGTCTAAATTTCGTCTTTAAAAATGCCATATGACAATCCAGGAAAATTACATCACATTTTAGTAAACCAAAATTTTACACCTATCTTAAAACAATGATAGAACAATTAAATGTTATATAACGATATTCAAACTTACCGTTTTTACTTCAAATATCTTTATATTATAGTCAGACATGTTAGAATCTGACTGAAGAGAAACAACCAAATCTCCAAAGAAAATAGGTTCGCCAAGATCCGGCCAATACTTGTCGCACTTACGCTGAAAATGTACTCTTTTTTATTATTAAAGCATACACATAATAACGACACATGCACATAGGTAGACATTTTTGAAATAATTTGATATAAAAACAATGAATTGAAGGATATTTCATGATTGATTGATAAAAGAAGCTTTGATACCCTTTGTTTATGACATTTCATGCTTTTTCTGAATGCAGTATTTAATTAATTCTAAAAAATTCAGCGACCCCTGGGTCACTTATCTGATTCTCTCCCTATAATACTTTATTATGATGAACTGTCACTTCACAAGTTTTATTTTTGAAATTATAAATAAACATAGCCCGTCCCCTTTTCCATTAGTTTTGTCAACATGACGACTAGTATCGCCCCCCGACATTTTGCTCCCAAACCATTCTCCAGAAGTCATCAAAAGTAGCTTGCATAGGACCCTGTACTTAGCAATATATTCTCTGCGAGACGAATAACCCTTTACATAAAACATTAAAAAATATGAAATTAGATTACATTTTCAAAGATACACGGAGCCCAAAAAATGACATTTTTTTATTCCGAAGAAAAGGTAAAAATGTGTTTTTATAATGTATTACTGGATGACATTCACTGAAATTGTACCGATACCAAGAACGCAAAAGAAACAAAAGAAGTCGCGGCTATATGGACAATCGGTAACATTTTGAAAACCGTTACAGGACAAAAAAAATTTATATAAAGTGAATATAGTCTTTGACAGGAGTTAAATACATACAGGGATATAGTTAGCATTGATGTAGTCAGAACCTTCTATATCATCGGACGGTCGTAGTTTAACCCGAGAATGATCAACTGAAATATCAATATACAGACGTTACACCAAAGACAAACGGCATAGAGTGGCAGTAAAAATAAAAAAACCACATAAAATATACAATTATACATTTTAAGATTAATTCGATGTATTTCAAAACCATTTGGCAGAAACTGACATTTGGATTTTTTTAAGAATTGTGTTTCCTTAACCTTGTACAACTCTGCAGTGTTCTTTAAGTCTATCTTATATACAGTTTTAATTTATTTAAAGAACGAACTTAAAAATATACTTAATACAAAAGCATATGGATGCAATTTTAATACAAACATGGTAGAATATTTGTGTATCTGTTTTTCGGTCGACAACATTGTTGTTTCTGCCTGCCGTCATTGGATGACTAGGACTCTTCTCCTTCAATAACCCTACAAAAAAGAGTTTTCTAATATTTATTAATGAACATTTAATTTTTGAATTTTATGTAGGGCTAACAATATAGACACAATTCTTATTATAGGGTCAATGTTTTACAATGACCTTATTCACGTGCTTGTTGGTCCAGTTTTTTAGAAGGCAGATTTTTTTTTCACAAATTTTTGTCATTACTTATAATTTGGTTTTAATCTGCTAACTTTCAAGTAAAACAATGATTATTAAAAATGTTCAGTGTTCACTTCACATTCTCTTTGGTTTTAATAATGGATATTAAAAACACACACAAAAAGTAGTATAAGAAGTGCTTTATCATATATAGCTTTATGTACCTTATAAGCATCAGCAAAAAGCAAATCAGAATCTCTGTGGAACCTTTCAACAGCATCTGAAAAGTCACTCAGCTTAATGGGTCCTTGTCTGAAAAAAGATAAAACTCGTGATAGATATGCGATACAAGACATAGTACCAAAGAATTCTTCTAAAAGAATAAAGAAACGCTAACATTTATGACAACAGTATTGAAAAGATAAGAGATCTGATAAAAACTAATTCAAATATGCAACAAGGTGTTTTCTTGAAATGTCAAAATGACAACCAATAAAATGCAAATTTAGATGATTTTTATACTGATAAGGAGTTAGTCTTGTTTACAAGATTATACATAATGAACATATGATCTAGTGTAAAGTGGTACGTGCTTCATGTATATGAAATTGTGCTTAGGTGATGGATATGTTTGGCAGCTGCGCTTGACTGTTAGGAAAATAAGTACGTCGTAGAATGTAAAACACAGAAATACGACAAAATAAACATTTTATCGGTCATTCGTTCCTCATGGCGCAAGGTAAAACACTATTATACGACAAAGTCACCATTTTGTCGTGTTTTCTTGTCTTTGCCTGCCTCCTTCCCATTTCAGAGTGAAAATACGAAAATACAACAAATTCACTTTGTCCCTGGGGCGCGGGACGAAAAACAAAAATACGACAATGTCACCACTTCTCGTAACCTATTGTCTTTGTCTGGCGTCCCGCGGAGCGAAAATACGACATGGCACAAAGCATAGTAGAGAGATGGCATAGGATAGGACAAAGGTGTCTGCCTCTTAACTTCAGTCCAGATTAAGGTCACGACTATACTTTCTTGCGTAACAGCAGTATTGATTATCAAGGTACTGCTCAAAAGAATTGTCTAATAAATGTCAAGCTTTTCAACCAGATGAGTTTATAGATACTTATATATAAATTTAAAAAAAAAACAAAAAAAAAAAAAACAAAAAAAAAACACACGTGAGCGAGTGACACAGCAACTGGGGATCTGTATTTTATATTTTGAAACATAGGAAAAGAATCCTTTTTACAATTTCTAATAAGTTTGTTATATCTTAACATACTAACATACTGTTATGTCAACATTATATCAGTCAACATCTTATGTGCCAAAGAAAATTAAAGGGAACTTAGAGCTTGATGAAATTAAAGCATTCCAATGTCATTGTATTACTCAAACGCCTTTGTTTAAACAACTTATGACAGACTTTGTAGACTTTTATTTCCAAAAACATGATTGTCATGAAAAATAATACTCTAGGAGGTGGGTTGGGTCGGAGTGAAGTTGTATTTGGTGCAATAAATGTGGAAGTTAACTTTACTTCAAAGCTTAAAGATATAATTGAATTCACTGTTCGCAAAAAGCTTATCTTCATGTATAGGTTGCATATGTACTTACCCTGGGGTACTGAAAAAGAATAATATTGTGTGATTCACATATAACATTACTAAGTTTTATACAACCTTAGATTGATATTTATTCTTTAACTGTGTCTTCTTTTTTTTCATTTATGAATGGTTTAACATTATAAAAGCAATGTAAAAATGACATAAAATAATTTGTAAGCGTATGGCACATTTTGAAAACATGACCAATACATTTTCTTATAGAAGGTAAGGAAAAACTTTCAACTTGTACCAACTTGTCATTAACAAAATTGAATTGCAACAAATATATTAAATGTCTTTAAGCCGGAAATATTTAAAACTCAAAATTCTGGTTATACTGACTTAGCTCTGTGTAGCAGATTATCAGAGACATCACAAAAGACTCGTTCTGTATCATCAAAGCGTGTTAAAATCACGCTTTGAAATCGTTTTCATCAATTTTGAATTATAATAACGTATATATTTTGAATCAAGAGTACAAAAGTACAACATTTGAACATTTTTATTACTAAAACACTAACAACATACATAATATCTAGGATAAGAAAATAACGATAAAATAGATGAAATAGATAGACCCGTAAATGTTATTAAAGTTGGTTATAGACTAACCTAGAATAGGTAACGGGTATATCTTAAAATTGTTAGAAGTAGTTGCTTCACAAAATGATATTATTGAGTTCAAACTTGCGAGTATTGCAATGGTAATCAAGATTGAGCTTAATTATATTTTTGTGCCTGTTGCCATTAAAAGTGAGTTGTGGTTTATGTATCTAAAATACTTCTTATTAAAATATATCCTACCTGGAAGGATTCTTTTTAGTATGTTCAATTTTATCAAGATGAATTCCTTCATCTGGAGACTGTGTAACCAGTCTACCATCATCTTTCGAGAAACAACTGAATAAGAACATGGAAAGTGTGTTTAACTGAAGTTTGAACAATCATAATTTACTAACCTCTGTAAGAGTATTGGTTACCAGAGGAATCAGAAGTGCATGACAGTAATTTATTTCAATACGTAACTTGTAATATAGATATAAGGTGTGTAATAGTGTTAAAATCAAAGCAAGAGCGCAACAAAGGCATTGAAATAAACACCAGAACCACATAGTATTTAAAGTTCAAACATTATAGATGATAATAACTTTCTAATATTCATTTAACATTGTTGCCAAATACTCTCATTACCACTCAATAAATGCATAAAATTGTTGCAGACTAAAACATTACACTTGTAAGGGTGACCTCGCCATTTGGATTTTCAGAAATATCTTGGTCACGTATATCTTCTGAACATTAAATCAAATTGTCATAAATATTTCTCTAAATGATTAAAAGAGACAGTAATTTCATGGCTTAACCGTTAATATTTTCTTGCAGTCGCAAAGTGCGTTCTGAACATTGCATTAATGATAAACAAATATTTGATGTGATTCCGATGAAATGGTGCCAGAGGTATATGAAAAATTGTCATAATAACTATGCTCGGTGCTTTTGTCTCAGTTGATACTGGTCTAAGTACAATATAACCAAATCATACAAAACTAAATTTATGGCACATTATTACAATATAATCAAAACTAAATACATTAAATATACTTACGCCAACTGTTTTCTTCTCAGAACGAAAACCACAACACCAACAATGGCAAGGACAACTATTGCCGAGGATATACCAGAAGCTACAGCAACTGTAAGATCTGGATCTAAAAAATATTAATAAAAGATACAATATTTTATATATGATTTATAATTAAAAAGAAACCATAGAAGAAAATTTTGCCAAGCTTTATTCAAATCACTGTACAATAAATTATACATTGTTAAAATGTCTATGTTCTGAAACCATGTATTAATTGCAAAAGAATTTGCGTAGTCTACAGAAAAGCACAAACGCCATGTACAGATTCTATGTAATTAATTTTTTTCAAAAGGAATTACAAAAACTTTATTCATTTTATGAGGAAGTCCTTTTAATTACAATCGCCATTAAATCGGAATAGTATAATAGTTTGGGGACCTTTCTGTTGAAAATTTGTCAGAGTTAAATCTTATACGTATATATGCACAGTGCGTTAAATGGAATGCAGGTACTAGTTTCCCGCACTCCAGAGCATACCCATTGATTGGCTTATTTTTATGAGGTTTACTGATTCATGGCAGTAGCGATAGAAATATCATACCCAGATGCTCGTTCTATGGTTACTTTTTCTGAAATTTCATATTGTCACAACAAAGAACCTGTTTCTATTTTTGCCTATGATATAAAAGAGAAAGTACATCAAAACACTCGGCAAAATGATTTAAACTCTGGAACTACGCCCCCCTCGAACATATCAGAAAGCCTTATGTTTCGACATAGAATAACAAATCTCCAATTAAAAAAGGACCGTGCAGCACGTTATCTGCTGTTTGGTATCGTATATCAATATCTCAATTTATTACCCGTCACTTTTTTCGTAATGCTAATTTCCCATAGGCCTCTGGCAGTTATTTTTACTGTTAATGCAAGTGTACCACGTGACTAAGAATTCTGTACTGTTACATAGGTAAAAGTATTTTTTAACAGTATAAAATCTGGTCACGTGGTCTATTTTCTAAATAAAATGAAATAAAATGGCCGCCATTTTTTTCTCGATTCATTCTTATTTTCAACGTTAAACCCCGATAGGACATCAATTTCTTCTCTGGAGTATATATGACACTCATAAAATTTAGTTGTTTGCAACCTGGTGTGCTTTTCGCGTATAAAATATCTTTTTGTTGAATGGTCAAAAAGTGAACATCCGTTTTCAACGGAAGTAATTGCAATGTAAATAATTACCGTATGTGTCAATCAATGTGGAACATGCAGACGATTTAAACATGCAACAAATGATTATTTTACAATTTTTATCAGTGAAACGTTACAGATATGGTGGACAGCCATAGGAATAATAGGATATCATCGTTATTTTGTCAAAGACCATGCTAAGAGTATTCTGGAAACAGAAGGATCAGATTTCACAGATCATAAGCGTGTAAATGGGTTAGTGTTTTGTTTTCTAAATAAAACCTAGCTTATTGTATGTTTATGATTTGTAGATATCATCACTTGCTTAAAGAATAAAAGAAAAAGAAAACTTCTCAAGTAGGCCTAAAGTACACTTAAAACTTAAAAGGTAAGGACAGTTTAGTTATTGTTACTCTTGGTTTATTTTTGTTACAGTTAGATTAAGTTGACAATTTCAGATCACCACAGTATTTTTGTTCGGGTTAATAAAATAAATAACACATGGGTTTGTGAGTAACAGTAAAAATATCATCCCTCGAAAAATACTGTTACCCTCGGCTACGCCTCGGGTAACATTATTTTCCTCGGGATGATATTTTTACTGTTACCCACAAACCCATGTGTTATTTATATAATGTTCAAAAATAATTTTTCTCAAAGACCTTTTTTGTCGGATCTTTATGTATATATTTAGTAATAATAATAACAATTATAGCAGTTACATAAAACTAACCTGTTGATATAGGATTTGAATATTTCGTCTCCGTGCACCCGTTTATTGTACAAGCAAACGTTTTCACCCTGTATTGAATAATTTTAAATGTTAACTGTGATCATTCAATTTTAAACGTTTCATCATTACAGCGTCAACTTATAAATTTCAGGGACGAGTATGTATCAACATATACTTCAATTGTATGATTTGTTTGTTTGTTTGTTTGGGTTTGTATGACTGCCAAAACAAGGTTGGTTTTGAACTACAGATATTAAAAATAAAATGTAAAGGGATTTACAAAAAAAAAATATTCTCTTACTTTCATAGACAAATATCGACAAACAAATTCGATAAATTCCCCTGCCGAGTAATACAAATCACATAGTATCATGTACCTTAAATCGTTATTCTATACAAAACCAACACAACAGTGAAATTGAGTGTGAGATTACCAATTTATTGAAATATTTACAGAAAAAAGAACAAAAAGAAAAACAAACAAAAATCAATTTCCTTGAAAATGACAGCTTAACTCACTGGTGAATGTATTTTGTTGTTGAGTCAGTTCACATTTGTTTGTCAACTGAGAACGGCATACTATTACTTTTTGAACGTCTTTTTGATATAAATACAAATACCTGTAACTACGCCCTGGTTGCAATTCACCATTACAAAACCGGTCAGTTTGTTGGCCTGAACACTTGCCATCCAGTCCTACAACAAATCTTTGATGCGTTTCGACATCACGCTGCGTTACACTACGCTTTTTCTGGGTACCTACAATGATTTGTTGACTTTAACTAAACCTTTCATAAAACGTAACGTTTATATTGAATTGAATCGAAGACTACAAAACGTTTTTTGTTATTTGGAAATCCTTACTTAAACTAATTGGTAAAATAAAATCATTATTATAACCATTTATAGCCATATTGTCTAACTATGAAACAATATGAAAAAGCAATGGTAAGATAGTAGAATACACAATCTAGTACGAGGGGTTATCCAAAAATTAGTGGACTTTCTTTGTTGTGTAAAATATATTTAAGATATTAATTTGAAATTCTTACACTGCTTAGAAGAATTATTAACAAATAAACACAGCAAAATTCATGTAAGTTACTTCTTACATTACAACCATATTTAATTTTACATAAACACATGTCGGCGACAGCGGCGCACTCCAAAAAAAGATATTGACGTCAACGTCATAATAACGTACAACTTGTGCTTTAACGTTACGCAGTCAATGACGATTACTGCTTTTCAAAGTAATGTCTATCACTGAATTTCTTATGCCACTTAAACACTAATGATCGTGAAATTTTCTTTTCTCTGTTCGTCTGCTGATTTTATCAAATGTTTTTGGAGATGTCATTCCCAAATTACAACAAAATATTATGATCGTTTTATGATCGCGCGATTTTCTCATTTCGCGTGTCTGTCTTTTTTTAAAAGTATTACTGAAATGATGTCATAGAAGAAACATGCTATGTTTAGCGGGTTTTCTACGCTATTTTTTTTAAATTTTTTTTTTAGCAAGAAATATAAGATGACTTACTGCGGTTTTGTTCCGTGCGCCGGGTGCCGTGTATGTGCTTATTTAAAAGCAATATAAAATCATTATTTATTGAGACAGTTAACTGTTCCTTTCAAAATGTGCTGATTATATCTTACAATGTATGCTGTTAAAATTTCATTACAATACACGTTGACGTTCAAGAGGTATTTAAAAAGTCCACGAATTTTTGGATAACACCCCTCGTACATACAGAATATTATAATGATATTGCCATTGTTAAAGCTACTAACAGCTTATAAGCATATGCTCGAACCAAATAGTGCGTATGAATGCTTTTGCTCAAGGAAAACACAACTTGCCCATGAAGACTTTGATTAACGCGGCAAGATATCATTGAATTATTAGTCCATGCTTTTACAACTCGCCAATGTCGTTACCAATATTAACTCATTAGAATCTTTTTCCTGTACGATAATTGATATCACAGTAAGAAAACAAGTACAAATGTTGCTGCAATGCAGCAATTGAGAAGTTCCGCGCAAAAACTGCGCTCATTACAGATACCTTACCAAATTATTCCTACGCACAGGTCATGTTATATTCAGAGTACATTGTTGATACAATTTTTGATTGGTCCGAATGTTTTGTAAACCATTTTTTTGCATAATTATACTTATCTTATGCATTGTCCATAATTAAGAAGAGGGGCCAGATATCTAATTTGAAAAAAAAATGCTGTCACTGATGCCTACCTGAATTCAAACAAGGCTTACAAGACTTGTTAATGTTATGTGACATGACTGTACTGTGTTCTGTTTGTGTCACTACTGTAGTCAGAAACATAAGATGATAAAAATATCAAAGTCTGTTTTTTTATTATTATAATTGTAACAAATATACAAATAGTAACAAAAGGGACTAATATTATAATATAGTAATATTACATGCATTCTTTTTCATGTCAAATTTAAAAAAATGGTTTCTTTCAATACTGAAAGCTGTTGTTAATTGATTTATAAATTTTTGCTGAATTGCTTTAAAACCATTCATAAAAAAACAATACACCTCATGTTCAAACTGCAGATCAAAGTTTCTGTTGTTACCAATGATGCGATCTACCTATCTATAGTCTATGCTTAATGAGGGTCCATCCGCCCGTACGGGCACAAAATGCAGCATTCGCTGTCGAGTACGGACCCCGGACATGTCACCAGTCATGCTCTTAAATGCTTAACTCCGTGCATTACCAATGATACCAATGAAAGATTTTTATACTTCACAACAGCAGGTGTCAAGTGCTGTGTGGCAGCTGTAAAAAGTTGCCCCATACTACACTTCAGTGTTGTTATATTTTTCTGGTCCTTCGGGATCATTGATGCCAGCACTATTAAGTGTTGAGAATTGAGTACCGCTCAAGCCGGTGCTAGGGGGCGTGAGGGATGTTGCACATATTCATTATCCCTCATGTACAGACTCAATCAAACCGAGTCTGCAATTCTCTTGTAATTTTGTTGTGATTAATGCTTCCGAGGGATCACTTTGTTTCCAAATTTTCATATACTAAAGTTACAATTATTTCAAAACAACCAATATATCAACATGTTATTATTAAACATTTAGTTTCATAAATATAAATTAAGAATAATTATCAAAAGCAAAATTATTAAAATCTTATGCCTGAAATCTTCTTTACATTGACAAATTCAATCACTAATAGTATACTTGATATGCTGTGTGTAAATGTAATTCAAAATGTAACAAATTATAATGTCATGTTCTGCTTAAAAAGGGAAATAACAAATTTATAACCTAAGTGTCAAAAATCAGAACATTTATAGCTATTTATAGCTTTCGAATTCATGTACAGCAGAATTGCTTTACGGTTCTCATTCATTAATATGACACGCTGCGAATCACCGAAGGGGGAACCAATATAATAATCGAAAGGAATTATTGATTCCGAATTTATTTTTACCTGTAAATCGAAGGAATTAATTGATAAAATCCAGGCCCATGAACAAAAAATAGTAAACACAAATAGCAATAAATGAAACACATACCACCATTAATTTGTTGACAAGAGTCCGTAAGATTAAGATATGTTGCCAAGTAAGGTTTAATAGAATCCATATCCTTTACGTCAAACCACGTTTTATAAACTTTTGATATTCTGTCTGTAAAATCCCGAACACTTCCAAAAAACGGCTCATCTGAAATGATTATATGAAAAGAAAATTTTAAATAAAGTTAAGTAATAACATTATACATACTATTACATTTTGCTATATTGTTTAGATTTATTTACTGAACACAAATAAAGAAAACGAGGCATATTCCGATAAAAGTGCGATCTTATGCTGTATGCAGGCCAAGATTTCTTAAACGCTCCTTTTTAACAGCACTTTTATTTTAATCTTATGAAGTACATGGTCAGTTTGTACAAAATTTGTTTTTCTTTCTTTTCTTTCAAACTAAAGACTCTTCTCGCAAATTATTGTGTCTTTACTTTCCACTATTTATCAGCAGCAGCTTTATGTGGTCAAAACACGAGCGTACACGAATTCATAATTCATTACATATTAATAGCCATAAAGAAACAAATATTGCTCTTAGAAAGTAAGATAGCTTCGTAACCAAGGCTTACAGTACTGTAAACACACTGCCTTATAATATCCATGTACTGTACTATTTCGTTTGCGGTAATCGACACGAAAGAAATGCAGAACACTTTTTTAAACCTTAATACGCATTTTACACTAAATGCAGAATTGAATACCTGTTGCTTGGTCATTTTGTGCAACAATCACGCCCCACTTTGTCGGATATCCGTTACTGGTATTACAGAGGAATGTTTTTAATGGTAGATTGACAGCCATTTGTCTCTCTGTATCTTTGGGTTGATCGGCACTAGGGGCCATCAGTGGACCACCCTCTGATTCATTGATCCTTAACGGAGCTTCAAGCAAACACATTACATTTCAGATTATTTAAACCGATATCTGAATTTATTCGAACAAAATGTTGAGAAAAGCGAATAATTAAAATTAATAAAATTGAATTACATAAAACAAAACTAACCCTTATGATAAAAGGTAAACATATTAACAGAGTGATGAATTTTAGATTCACCTGTCTTCAACCTAATAGCTTTGCTGCTATCGAGTGTGTGTTCTATATTTCAACTTGTGTACGAGTATGTAGCGGATTTGAATTACTGAATTATACCAAAGTTATCATCTTACAGACGACCATGTGATAACGCAAAATACTGTTCAAATATTGGAAATGAAACGATTTTCACGTAAAACTTAAAGACAGTCAAGAATTGGAGACAGTGTGTATTTGTAGATACTACGAAGACAAGTCAAGTATGAAATTACTGAAATATCTGTTATACAGCAAACGTTTACGAAATGTATAATTTAAAGAAAAATGACTTTTTGGTAGATTTAAAGGTTAAACTATTCATGGACGAAGAGATATTGGTGAATTTGTATGTACCTTTATGGTTAAACAAATTACAAAAGCATTTCTTTTTTGTTGAAATATATAAAGGTATTTCATTTTGTATGTTTCCCTACTTCATACATATTTCTACGACAAATCAACGAATAAACGAATAAAATGAAGGAGACTTACCGCCTGGCTGAACAAAAACTGTTTTCATAACTACTTGGCCATTTCCAGCACTTGTATTAGCAAATACCTTATAGGGAAAGGAAATACTTCTAAGTTATGTTATTTAATCACTGTTAAATGGTAAGGCAAAATCGACATAGTTCGAAGACATATTTGTATAAAAAAGATACGTGCGCATGTTATTAATTGAACTATATTGACTAACGCAAAATGTTTAAGGATGTATATACATTTTGTATCTTAATGCCATATATATGTTTTCCGTAACTAGTGTGTGTTTTTGTATTTGAAAAGAGAACGTTTAGCTCAATAAACCAAATACGTAAATAAACCAAGTGACGTCATGAATGTTTCTTCTTAGATAGAATCACCGACATTCTGTACTGGGGTCCTACATATTTACCGGACAATCAGTTTACAGGAAAAAAGCTATTACTGCTGCAAAGTGCTTGACTTTTTGCTTCTTTTAAAAAATCATACATTCCGAATTGTACACACATTTTCTATTTCAAAGTAAATAACAACAAAACTAATGTAAATATTGTTGGTTCAGTTCTTTATCTACTAACATGCCCTTTTGTTTACTAGTTATTTCATGACCTGGTCATGCGGGGGGAATAATCTGTTCTGCGTAGGCCCGAATATGGAGACCCTTAATGGTTTTCTTAGATAGTTTTTACTTTTTATTCTTTTCAACATTACCTGAAGAGACAATAGTAACATATTTAAATGATAAAAGTAATTTCAAATTTTGTCTAAACAGAATCTGGTTGTTGTCTTTTACAAAGAAGTGCAAATTAAAAAAAAACATATAAGGAAACGGGTTACGCCCATGGGAGAAAACTCTACATGAAATATAAAAAAATTGACTTTGTGGCTTTTGTAACATGCTACATGATGACCAAAAGGAAACTGTATGAGAAAGGACAGAATTCCATTTGAATATCAAAATGTTTCATCCGTTTAAGGATCATGAATAATCAATACGTTAATTGAGTTAATAGTGTTAATTTCAGTTACACCCTATATATATTGGCCTCTTCATAACAGGCATGGCTGTCGTGTTTAATTCTAGTGACATACTGGGTTTTTCAAATATCTTTACCTTGCTATTCAATAATTGTAGTTTCCTTGCTGGTGATTTAAAGATTAATTTCAGTTCACGACTTCAAAAAAAAAAATTGAAACACAATGTCAGGTAAATTGAGTTGTTTACATGAATTTTTCCCTCTTATAATACTTATTATACCCTACTTTAAAGACTCATTTCTACGGGCAAATGTTTAATTTCATGTTTGATAAAGGAATGTTGACGTGCATTAAGAACCCAAAATTATTTGGGTAAAATTCCATTCTTTTGTATTATTTTAAATAAAATTTACAGATAAAAAACTTCATATTTTGTCCAGTAATATGTAGAACCCCAGAAAGCTAGCTTGATAAATACCTTCCTTACATAAAGCAACAAAAGTTTCAGTAAAATGTAGGGGGATGGGGGTGAAGTGTTTTGAAGCATTAACCTTAACAACTCAGCAACGGACGTCCCACTTAAGCTTAAAGCAGTAGTCAAACACTACGGAAATCAATCAAAATAATTTACATGAGAAGTTTAACAAGAATGTGCAACTTGCACCCTCTTCACAAGAAAGACTCAAGATAAACATACCTCCACAGAATAATTACCAGGGAACAATCCACTGTAATTACAGTACCTTGTAGAGCTGTCTGTGAAGAAACATGTTGATGCATTCTAAATAAAAATGTGTGTTTTTTAACTATTCAATTTAACAGCAAAGTTTAACATAGTCTATGAATAACATTCATCATATATAAACAACCGTCGAATAAATTATCTATGAAAGTATTGGGTTATTTCATATGATAATTTTCATAAAACAATACTTTTCACTTTTATTTAAGTCAGATATCATAGATAATCGTATACACTTTAGGAAAAATGTCATACTTGTAATCAAAACACGTGTAAGTAACATCAAGATACTATTCTGGATATTTAAAATACATACATTGCTGTTTGTGAATACTATGGAATAATTCTGAATGATGCCGTTTCTGTCCCTGATGCTTGGTTCATTCCACGTTACATTAACAGATCTCTGTTTTGTGACATCTTTTTCTGATTTCAGTTTTAGATAAGAAACTTTTCCTGGCTCTGATGAAAAAAATAAAGCTATATCTTTTCATTCAATATTCAATTAAAAAAAACTCCAAAAAATTATCATAAAAAAACAAAAAACAAAACAACCCCAAAAAAACTAAGGACAAAACTGAGATACACTGCTAGAAAATGAAAGAATTCTTCAATGCAGAGGCAGTCATTTAGGTCATATTTGGCTGTCATATTTGTGCCCGCTTGGATGCTAGCAAATACTACATGCTAAACATCGAACCCCATGGTGGGACCAATTTTAATCAAAGGGGCCTGAGTTTTATAACTTATGATGACCAGGTGATGCACATGCTAATAACGAGAGGCATATGTAAGGTACATATCAGTCTAAAACTTTACCGTTATTCAGCGCTTATCGGGTAAGCGTTATACTACATGTATGGCTTGAAAATTCGGATTTTACATACAAAATGAAATCAATTTTGACTTGAACTTATTTGATTAAATAAAACAAGGGAAAAATCACGATATTAGTACATACTGCCTTCTGTGGTCTTTACACGAAATGTCGCAGATGTGTTTCCACGATCAGTTGATGCAGTTACTGTGATTGAATACGTCCAATACTCGTCTAGACCCGTCAAAGTGCATGATATAGCTTTAAAGCCTACGATTAAATTAGATTTTTTTAAAAGTCATATTTGGAGAAGTAGATTTCAATTCCGTAATAAAGAAAAAAAAGAGGTCCATCGGCCTGGGTATTCTACAGCAGTTTGTATATGTTTTTTCTTAAAGAACAATATCAACCAAGAATTAATATTAGATTGCTAAATACCAAGTTTTATTACAATACTTCAATACTTACTCTAGTAATTGTCTGGAAACCATTTTTTTCTTTTTCAGTAACTATTACCTTGACCTTGACCTGAGGGAGTCCAAAAGTGATAAGAACCCATGTCTTTATTAAAGCTTACTATATACCAAGTTTGATAACAATATCTCATTCCTAACTCTAGTTATTGTCTGAAAACCAGTTTTCTATTTTTATCATTGACTTGGACCTGACCAAAGGGGGTCCGAAGGCAGTGTCAACCAGGATAAATTATTCCAAACTCTAGTTATTGTCCAGAAATCATTCATTTTTTCTATTTTAAGTAACGGTGACATTGACATTGACCTCGGAGGTCCAATTCTAATTCAAACCAAGGTCTTTATATAAGCTTCTAAAATACCAATTTTGATAACACTGTCTTCTTCAAATTTCAAGTTAACGTCCGGAAACTATGAAGGAGACCGACTGACGGACGGGACTGTCAAACCGACAACTTGACTCCTGTATACACCCTTAACTTTTTTTTGGGGGTGGGGGGTGGGGTGGTAATTTTGAAAACTGTTTAACTGCGAAATCGCAATGTAGTTATGAAAGAATACATTTTCTAACACAATTAGTCGCACCCTGGGACCCAAGCATAGACCCCATGGGCCATAGATTTCACTATGATTTCCTCATCATCATAACTATGTACTGTATTCATCCGCTTTATACCCAAGAGGAAAGGAGAAGATTGTCAAAGAATTAATGTATTTTCTATACAAAATTATTAAAGACCCCTCCAAAAAAATCTCCAAAAACTCTCCAAAAACAAAACCCTTGACCACGGGGCAATAAAATTCACAATCTTTAAAACGACATTCTCTATCTCTCATTATAACTATACATTTATTTTGTTTCCAAAATATCCAGGAGGAGAGGGAAAGAAATTTTAAGAAATAATGTACTTTCACTATGTATTCAACGGAGCCCCTCCCTTGCACCAACACCCCTGACCCTGAGGACCATGAATTTCACAATTTTGGTAGAGGGCTCAATGCTTATTACCATTGTGCCAACAGTTTGACTGGCTAATGCCTAGGAATTAAGAAGAAGATTTTTTTTGGCTTAAACCCCACCCTCAGGCCACAGGCGTACATGGCAATGTATTTCACAATCTTTGTTTCCTTTTTTACATAGATGCTTTATGCCAAAATTGGTTCAAATTTCTTCAGTGGTTCCAGACAGGTAGCTTAAAATGTTGAAAAATACATGCATTTATCCTAAATAATCATTAGACCCTGCACACCCTAATACCCATAACACTGGGGCCATGAAATTTACAATTTTGGAAAAGACAGCCTCTCTCATCGTAATTATGCATTTACTTTGTTTCCTAAATACCCAGGAACAGATTGCTTGACACCCAGGAGTAAAGAGGAAGATTTTTAAAGATCACATTAATTTCTATGGTTTTAGCCCAACCTCTCAGATCCAACAGGCGCAGGAGTCATGAATTTCACAAATAAATGCTTTATGCGAAAATACGTTTAAATTGGTTCAGTGGTTTTAGAGGCGAAGCTTAAAATGTTAACGCACGACATACGACGACGGACAAAACGGATAACAACTCAGGGACCTAAAAAATTGGAAGGAAGGTCGAGGTTTTCATCAAGGCTCCCGCCCATATCTGTAATAAATGTTATACAAAAAGGCATGAGACGTTTTCCTCTAAAGAACATAGAAAGTCTCTATATATTTCCAATGTGGTTTTGACTTGAATCCAAAGACAGTTTTAAAGATTGTAAAGATTAACATGAGCCAGTTACAGAAAAGAACAAGAGCATTTCATTAATTTAAACTTGACGATAAATGCCAATTTAGTGTTAAGGTCACATCTTTATTTATGATTTTTTTTATTTATGAAATATTTTTTTTTATCAGTAGCAAGTCTTGTTTTGGCCATGTCTGCAAAAATTACATAATAATGACAATCAAACCAAAACTAAACAAGTTGACATTCAGGGTCAAAGTCATTAAACACTCAAGGTCAAGATCAGTTCAACCTTAAATAAGGCCATGGTTTTGTCCAAGTATAAAGATAATACATTGATCAATTACCAAGTTACAGCCAAATGTAGCATAATTAAATAATTTAACTTTCAAGGTAATGTTCATTAATGAGACATGGTCAATTTGAGTTTAACTTACATGAAGGTCTAATCCGAAAGAATGTTTTGTTTTCATATGAAGTAAATCCATTCATTAAAAACAGTTATAGCCAGTTACAGCAAAAAGTCGGGCAAAAGATGATACTTATAAACAAAAATAAATATTATCACTCAACTCAAAGCAACTCAAAATCTCGTCGTCTGAATAGTTTCATTCCTTTCAAGTCTGACACTAAGTTATGATCTTATGATATTTTAGCGTCTTACAAATGTATCAGGAAATGGATATAGAGTGGATAAAATGGAAACCTTTATGGTTTCCAACCTTAATTGTATTTCTTCTTTTGACCTTTTCCAACTTAGATTTTCCCAGTATTCCTAGTTAAATATTGTATTATCACCCTTAGGATATAGTGCCTGCTTTTAAAGTTTGTCTTTTGACGTCTTTTCTGTGGTATGCATGCTCCATATCCTCCTTTCCTCTTTCAAAATTCCGTTTTGTTTAGTTGCGCCCATCGTTGAACAGACTCAATCAAACCGAGACTGCAACATTTTCAGTTTTTTCGTTTTGAGCGTTTTTTTAGGAATTCTGTTTTTTCTGTTAATTTCCTTAAACAGCTAAATTAATTATGCTGCAGACTATAAAGTTTTTAATCATGAAGAATATTTATGAATGCATGCTATCTTTAAAAACCCAATAACACTGTCCTACGTAGAAATGATTTGGTGATTAATATAGAATAATATTCTATCAGCAAATACGTGTACATTAAAAAAACTTGGAATAGAATTTGATTTAAATGACCTACCAGTTGCTTCGCAAGAATTAAGTTTTATATTATTGTCTTTATCATCGACTGGTATAACAAAGTAACGGGTCGGACCAGTAAACAAATCTGGCGTGTCCCATGTAACTTCAATAGTTGTGGAATTGATATTCTTTGCTTTTGGGTTTATTGGTGGTCGAGGCTCTGTAAATGAAAGCATACATTTAGATTTTATAGATAATTTTCTTCTAATATATATTAAACATAATGTGCTTTGGTTAAATTTACACATTAAGTCCAAACCATCGAACGAATTTCGATTCACTTAAGTTTAATGAACAAATAAGAGACAAATAACAACTGTATACATATCGTAACAAAAATTATCGTAGACAAGCATAACGTACTTTTGATGTTCTTTAGTGTGGCATAATTCCATGAACTGAAAATACTACCGACATAATTTTAACTCCTCGATGCTTAATTGTTTACCAGCAGCTGAGTATAACTTAGAGGAGTGAAGACATATACATCATGTACAGAATAACAAGACAAGCATATGGGAACAAGATAAATTAAGGATTTAACAAAAAAACAATTATAACACTTATTGTTTTTAAACTTGATTCAAGAAATTAATTTATAGCCATACAATAAACTTACTGGCAATATCTGTCCGCCTTTTTATTCCAAAGGAAAGGTTACCTACACCTTTTTCAGTGTAAGCGGCAATACTAAACGAATAGTTTCTGTAAGGTAACAAATTCTTAACAATGAATTGAGTGATATTTCCATCAGTTTCATTCTTCCAGGTTCTTGGCATGTTGTGTTTCAAAGTTGATGTCGGGTCGGTATTGGTTGTATTTATTGTGTATTTAGTAATTATTCCATTTGTTTCACATGGTGCTTCCCATGTAATGTTTGCGTCATTAGAAGTTGTGCTTATTTTTACATTTCGGATCTCACCAGGTTCTGACAAAAATAAGATTATATTTCTTAACACATTTTGATATAATACTTTAACTGTAAAACATTATTGAAATTCAGGAAACTCTTACTGAATAAAATGTGTTTTGAGTAAGAGAATGTGCAATTTGTTTGGTAAGCCGTATTCTCTATTACTTGTAAAGTTAATTTGGTCCTTTCTTTAAACAAACTGCCTGTTTAATGACATCATGTATTCATTATATTTTTGAAAAAAATGTGTATAGTTTAAAATGTAAAATCATAGTATTCCCGAAAGATACCAAATTTGAGCATAATATATCTTTAAATTAAATATTAAATTGTAATTGAAAGAAAAAAGATTAATGTAAAAATAAATTTTGCTGCGCCCTGTGTTTCTTACTTGTGCTTCCAAAATGAAAAATAAAGACGATTAAAAATAAATTCAGAGCAATATAATAGAAGAAAAAACATCGTGGAGAAAATGAAAATAAAAGTTACTTTGCCTACTTCTGATTAAAACAACATGGCATACAATGTCCGGAGATATCATAAAGTGACGAAGTGTCCGAGTGATAAAACTGGCCGGACTAATAATTTAAAGACTAATAGCCAAATAGATTTTAAAAAGAAGAACAAAAATGAATCTCTAAAAAACGCCCAAAACGACAAAATTGTAAATGTTGCAGGCTCGGTTTGATTGAGCCTGTTCATGAACGATACTGAAAAGTGCAAATTACCGACTATGTCCCCTTACACCGGCTTAAGTGGAATTCAACATTTAACATGAACCGTACAATTTTGAATTTTGAAATATTCGCAGATGTATTTTCGTTGTTTCATTCAACATGACCTTTAAACTTTTTAGTTTTATTTCTGGAACGAAAAGTTACTATATGGTTAAAGCTTCCAACACATTCACATTGAAAAAGAAAACGTATAAATTAAGGTAAAATAAATCTAATTGACAAGGTAAAATCCAAGTGGGTCAGTACATGAAGTTCTTATACTTACTAGATGACTTTGTTCTAAAATAACAATCGTCACACCATCCGACTGGTCCTTCACCTACATTTGTCGATGCACTCACTGTTATATTGTAAAACCAGTACGGACGCAAATTTGACACTTCATAATCAGATCTATTGGTGGTACTTCTCGTTTCCTCAACCATAACACCGTTATCAGAATTCCAGCACGTATCATTTTTCCATGCATATCTGATTGTATAATTTGTGATAATGCCATTTATATCTCTCTCTCCAGGAGGGTTCAATGATATTTTAAATCCTACTTCAGCATGTTCAGTAGGAGTAAGTTTGTCTACAGATGGAGCTGCTGAAGGAACTGCAAGGATAAAAAGAATTAAAAGTAATAATGTTGTTAAGAAAGCATAAGCCACATTCAAGTTTATCGGTACATATTTTTTTCCAGACCTATTCGCAAACAATTGGTACTTCAATATTCAGATATTTCACGACTATATCGCTACATTGAATATGAGTAAATAAAAAAACAACGTGTCGCACAATTAGGTATATCTTAAACACAACTAAGAGAAACGTCATATCTTGTTTGTTTTGAACATAACGCATACTTTTGCTTTCAACTCGATATACCTTCAGAAAGAAGTATGTGTTTCATTTAATAGTATTCCTCCCATTTTTGTATAAATAGATCTACATTTATAGAATAAACCTGTACAAGCGATAGAAATATATCTTTGAGGACGTGGAGAATCACATGTTAATTTAAACAAGCTTAGTTTTAAAAGTCATGAACCGGTTTATATATAATGAGAAATATAAATAGATCGTCGGGTTCGAATAACGTTTACTTTTTACGATCACAACGCGTTTCTTTAGAATTGACTTTTTGTATTTTCTGATCGCAGATTTAAAAATTCTATGCTGACATTCAATCTCTGACACAGACGCTTCACGACAAACCTAACAACAAGTAGTTCTCAAAACAGCTTAAAACTAGCGATGCAAAAGAAAGAAATATATTTATTTTGTTATAAGTATCAAACAAATTACAACGCATTCAAAGTTTAAAAGTAGCGTTAGCTTATAGAATTATCAAGTCACCAATTACGCGGATGAACATAAAAATGCTATTTTTAGCGATGTCGATTACCGAATACCTCAGAGCGTATTACACTGTCGAGTAGTGGAATATATACATGTCGGACTGTTTTGGTGAGAAGATTTTCGGTAAATTATTTACATCAATGTTAAATAACATGTATATCGTGAACAACATACCTCGAAATTAATTTAGGATTATAATGGAGCTAAATATAAGATTTATATATCTGTGGGATAACAAACCCTGCATGGATTTTCTAAAATTAGAATTATTTGATTTTATTCAGGTTGTTTTTACATCTCCGTGGTGCAGGGGTAACGCGCTAGTTTAGGGTATGAGAGGTCTGCAGGATTGTGTTTCATGGAGAGTCCTACGTTAATCCTAAATCCTAGGACTTATGACCAACTTTAGGAGAAAATGATTTTGCACTTAAGACCGTTTCAAGTAACTGTCCTATTTTTTGTCATAAACTTAAGACTTATGACCAATTCGCTCTCCTGAAAAGTTACAAAATACAATGGCACGCGCATAATCCCGGATTGGATTTACTATGCAATTGATTATAGCAAGTAAGTGATGTATTGCCCTCTTGACGTAATAGACAAAAAGATCATGTTGAGTGAACTTATATGCCATATTTAACGAAAGACGAAAAAATAACCTTTTTATCAAAGAAAAATGGTGACGCATCTCCTTGCTTGCTTCGTAACTGCAATTGGACAGCGCGCAGTAATATATTGTTTTGACTGTTTTTGCATGCGCTATTTCGCGCTACATTGTGACGTCATGTAAATAACTCTTTAAACGGCTGTATAGCGGTAAAAACTGAATTAAAGATACTGGTGTTCGGATTTATTTTCTTAGTTAGACCATTTTCTATCTAGACAGTTTTCAAAACGAAATTCAATTTTCGATTTGCAAGATCGATTCTCTTAGAAATTTGTACAGTATCGACTAATCATTTCTGTCACAGGGCCCTCTGTCTTTGAAACACTACCATGAACGCTGCCATGTTTGATTTTGGAGTGGTTTTGACCTAGGACAATCTTAAGATTCCTTTAAAACACTCTTAGACTTAGGACTGTTTTTGGTAATAAATATAGTTATAGTCATAAGTTAGGACCTTTTTGGCTTGCAGCCGTTTGTTTTGGAAAACTTGTTCCGGTTAGGTGGTTTCCTGCTTACATTTGTTAGTGCATGATTGAACGGGAAACCAGCTGCAATCGTGCCAATCGCAACTTTTCGGCCCTTTCCGTCACTCCTCGGATTAATGATAATAGCCGATGTAGTTCCGATTGCAATCGTGACAATTCGGGCGATTCTGTCATACTGCGGAATCAGACGAAGTAATATTACGGAACTCTAAGCTATTTTAGTTACTTCGGTAATCCCAGTTTGTTTATATAAATAGGATTTTTATTTTTACTTGATTCCGTTTCAATTCTTTTTCAAGACGCAAAAGTTAGTTTCTTTTATAATTGGTATAATTTTGTCTTTATTAGTTTTATACAATAGAGAATGGTTACTGTAGTAGTAATCCGTCTCCAAAGGGCGGTCCTGCTTATCAAAAGATCGTGACCGAATCACGCAGAATTTTAGTGCTTGATCAAGTTATATTTAGATCTACTGACAGAGTTTAAACGTCTTGGTGAGGTTATCTAAAAATAGCCCATGCATATCATTAACCTAGTGCATTTACTTGTCTCTAAAGCTGCTATATAAATGAAATTAGCAACTGCCAAAACGAAAGACTCTCTTCGAAAAAGTGGAAATAAAATTTGCTGACTTGTTTCCCTTCAATATGATAGAATGATCTCCACGTGAGAGCCAATGTTAGTATTTTTACGATTGATTATTTTCTTTATTAGTTTTATACAATAGAGAATAAATTTCAAATCGTTTTTGACAAAAAAAAAAAAAACATTCGTTTTTACAAAAAAAGTGTTGCTACTGTTATCGTCAGCATTTTCCCGTTCAGTTATAATCAGTGGTCTTCTGGTCCCTTTTTGGTCCAAATTTGCACGCAGAACACTGGTGCTCAAACAAATGAGGCACAGGTGCTCGTCCAGTCTTGGGCTTACCCTACCTATCCCTTTAAAAGTGAAACTTTTTTTTTCGAGAAAAAAAAAAAACAACTTAATAAACCCTTTATGATATACAAATACCGTAATTAAAAAAAATTGAGGTAATAAATTGAAAAAAAAAAAGAATTTTAAAGGGAAGGAATGATGGCACAACTGAGCAAGCCTTTCCTTTTAAAAGGAAACTTTATTTAAGACTTTCTTTGAAACGCAAAATTGTCTCAATTGTTATCTAAGGACCGACTTCAGACTTAGGACTCTCTATGAAACGAAGCCCTGGGGTACAAATCCCAGTCGAGGCAACTTTTTTTTTATTAAGGAAGTAGCCACGATATTCACGGATAAAAGGTTATGATAAAGTGTGGCTGTCAAAAACAATGAACATAAATGAATTTTTATGCAACTCTAGTCATGCAAAATTCCGTATGTATCAAACTCAAACTGTTATAGTAAAAAATCCAAACGCAGTCGCTGCATCTCGGTGCCCTGCAAGGTGAATTATACTAGTAGTATATAAAAATAAACTAATACAGGAAAATACATACAGATATACATTACGATTTAGATTGCAAAGATCAGAAAAAGCCATAGAGCTTGCAGCCCTTTGATTAATTTTAGCTATGACGTATTATTTAAGTACCAGAAATAAAATCTTGAGTTGTTCACCTTATAAAATTGTTTTAATATTCTTTGATAAAAAAGAAAGAAACGATAATCGTACCCATTTTTTTCTTTTAAAAATGAAACGATAGGGAAACATAATATAATGGAACAATTTTCAGAAGTTACATAGAACAATACATACTTTTTAACTTCAATAAATCACAAAAATAGCTATGAACCAAAATTTTAAAAACAAGCACATTAATGTCTTTCCATCAATAAATTTCTTTTTCTTTCAAAGGAAGGCAAAATGTTTTATATCATTATATGAATATGTCAAGAAGAGAGACCGAGTTAATGCACAAATTTTAAACATACAAATAAAACATTCCTTCTTATTTTCATCGAAAAAATAATCTTGTATTATTCTTATTGGTTTGAATCATTTTATGGATACATAACAGTTTAATATACATCTTTGTTAGACAATAAACACAATTCAAATTTAAAGTAAACGTAAACATTTTTGAGACATTCTGTGAACAATATTTACAAACATAGCAGACAATCATCATTCATGTTGTCAATGTTTCATGTCAGGGTGTTATTAACCACCGTTCTAGATTTCTGTTCCGAAAAGGTATCTATTAACGTAACGCTGACTTTTATTATTGAGACTGGAATCATGCCTTGGCCCTGTTTAATAGACATGTTGTATTAAATGCGATTAACATTTCACATTCTTGTTTTTTTTAATTATTTCTAATGATGTGCAATCAGGAAAGGAGCAATATTTTCTGACTTTGCTTTAAACATACATGTATGTATATGTGTCTTTTTAATAATTGCCCTAACGAATAATGCTGCTTTAAGCAGTGTGCGTGATGGACATTGCATTTTTTTCATTTATATCGTGTATGTCTTTGCTTGGATATGGAATAAAAATTGTTAAAGACATTATAGAAAATGGACAATGGAAATAAACTGTTATTTTTTTCTTATGTATCAATCTATGGTTGAATCAATTATCCCTGCTTTAAAATTAAGACACCTTTGACCCTTCCCAACCACCACTAAAAGAAGTGCTATTAAATAGATAAAATAACTTGAAGTCGCTTTTTATTTCATTGTGTAACCATTTAAAATTGCCCAAGCTCTTTGTGTTGGCCCTAACAGCAACACCATACTGTCAGTAAGGTTGCATTTAAGATGATAACTACCAATTTTCACTCAATAATAAATTACAAAATTTCTACCAAATGACCCCCAACAAAGAAAAAAATAAACTAGCTTGGATGCTAGCAAATGTTACATGCTAAATATCTACCCAATTATGGAACCAATTTTAATTCAAGGGACCCGAGTTCTATAACTTTTATGTTGACAAGGTGATTTCGAGAGGAATAAGTAAAGTATTGTAATCAGTCTAAATTTTACCGTTATTTAGCGCATATCAAGTAAGTGGTATTAATGTATAGAAAGATAAGACTCTAGGCTACATATATCACTTGAAAACTTGGATTATACATACAAAGTGGAATAATTTTGACTTGAACTTACTATACTTCCTCTGTTTAAATTTATTTTCATCATAAACAATGATGGAAGAACATTGTTTGAAATAAACTTAATATTTTACTTCGATTTAGCGATATACATTTCGGCAGATTTTGTAGAGATATTAAACAATCAATCAAAGAAATTATACAAAGTATAACAGGCATCCGTTCCAACTTAAACACAATTTTCTTACACGTTTATTGTTAGTAGAATCAAATAACATTTATTTAATTAAATAAAAACAGGGGAAAAAATCACGATTTTCGTATTATCAAAAGAAACATACTGCCTTCTGCGGTCTTTACACGAAATGTCACAGGTGTGTTTCCACGATCAGTTGATGCAGTTACTGTGATTAAATATGTCCAAAACTCGTCTAGACCAGTCAAAGTGCATGTTGTAGCATTAAAGCCTAGAAATTGAAATAAAATGAATGCTTTTGATAGTCATATTTGTATTATAAATTGTCTTTACGTAATAAATAAAACCAAGAGGCCCACTGGCTTTAGTATTTTACCGCAGTTTATATATGTTTTAGTTTTTGCGTAAACAATTGTATTACATTGATTAAAACATCAAACATCACAAAAATATTTTAATTTCTGTAAATTGTTTTTATATAATATAATGTATAAAATTATATTGTGCAACTTAAACTTAATACTCTCCCTGAGACCTACCCCCCCCCCCCCAAAAAAAAATAAAATAAAAAACAACAAAAAAAAAAACCAACAAAAAACAAATGGTCATGCATTCCACAGTGTTTCTCATTACTTGTTATAACAAGAGTACACTTAAGGTGTTTTATATCCACTCCAGTAGCCTTGACTTTTTAGAACTCAATTTAACCCAACCTACAATTCATGAAGTATCAACTGTGTAAAATAATTCTAAAATAATGTTATCTACCAGAAACCATTTATCTGTTTTGAGCTATAGTGACCCTTGATCACAGGAAGTACAAAAGCAAACCGAGCCGATGGTCTATATTTAGCTTGCTCAATACCAAGTTTGATAAAATATCTCATACCGAACTGTAATTGTAGTCCGGAAAACTATGTTTTTATTTTTAATAACAGTGAACTACACCCAAATGGGGTAAATAAACCCAAACCAACAAACAAAAATAACGGGTCTTCATAAATTATAAGCTTACAGAGTTTGATTATAAAATCTCACTCCTTACTTTAGTTATTATCTGAAAGTCATTTATTTTTAGTAACGGTGACCTTGACCTTGATCCAAGGAGGTCCGAATACAATACAAAGCCAGGTCTTCATTTACGTTTGCTAAATACCAAGTATGATTACAATGTCTCATTCCTAACTCTTGATTTTGTACAATATTTTTAGAAACAGTGACCTTGACCACAGGGGACCAAAAAACGATAACAACCCAGGTCCTCATATAAGCTTACTATATACCAAGTTTGATAACAAAATCTCATTCTTAACTCTAGTAATTGTCTGAAAACCAGTTTTCTATTTTAGTAACAGTGACCTGGACCCTGACCCAAGGGGGTCCGAATGCAATTCCGACCAGAATCTTTATATAAGCTTTATTGAATACAGTAAAACATTCCAAAATCTAGCTTTTATCAGGAGACCATTTTTTCAAATTTAATAACGGTGACCTTGACCTCAGGGGGTCCAAATCTAATACAAACACAGGTCTTTATATAAGCTTGCAAAATACGAAGTTTGGCTACGATATCTTCTTTTTTAAACCTCTAGTTACAGTCCGGAAACCATGAAGGAAAACGACAAACGGACGGACGGACGGACTAATCGACGAGCTGACTCCAAGTATATCCCCTTGACTTTTTTAGGGGGGGGGGGGGTATAACCATGTAAACTGCTTAACAGCCAAATCGCAATGTTGTTATAAAAGAACAGATTTTCTTCCTAATTTAGCCCAACCCTTGGACCCGAACCAAAACCCCTGAGGCCATATATTTCACAATTGGAAAGAGAAACTTCCCAATCATAAGTATGTACATAGTTAATCAGCTTTATAACCTACAGCAGAGGAGAAGATGCATTTTCACTACATAATTACTAGACCCACCTCCACCCCCCCAAAAAAAAACAAAGAAAAAAAAAAGACCCCTTGACCCTGGGGCCATGAAATTCTCAATTTTTGAAACGACATTTTCTCTCATCATAAATGTGCATGTACTTTTCAAAATGCCAAGGAGCAGAGGAGAAGAATTTTTAAGAAATAATGTACTTTCACTATATATTCAATAGAGCCCCGTCCTTGCACCAACACCCCTGACCCTGTAGGCTATGAATTTCACAATTTTGATATAGGACTCAATGCTTACAATCATTCCAACAGTTTGACTGCCTGATGCCCAGGAGTAAAGAATACGATTTTTTTAAAGATTGCATAATCTTTATGGTTTTAGGCCCCACCCTCAGACCTCAGGCGTGCAGGGGCCATGTATTTTCATTTTTTTTCATTTCCCCTTTTCCTATCAATGCTTTATGCAAATATTGGTTATAATTGGTTCAACGGTTCAAGAGAAGAAGCTTAAAATGTTAAAATGTAAACGCACGACTCACAACGCACGACGGCAGACAAAACGGATTGAAACTCAAGGGACCTTACAAAAATGGGAAGGAAGGTCGAGGTTTTCATTTAGGCTTTCGCCCATATCTAAAATACATGCTATTCAAAAAAGCACCAAACGTTTTCCTCAATAAGCAAATAGGAATCCCCATATATTTCTATGTGGTTTTTGACTTGAATCCAATCACTATTTAAAGATGGTAAAAAAAAACAAGAGCCACCGCCTGTCTTGGTCAATGCTCAACTTTTATATTTTTTTTCTCAAAAACAAACTAATAAAAGGTTTATAAAATCTTTAATAGTATTCTACTAGGTCAAAATCAGCTGATAAAAATGTTCAATGTTTTTTTACATCTAAAACTGTATACAAGGTACAAATTTCATAGCTGTACATCAAAGAACAGGATGGTAGGTCACAAGGCCAAAATAAAGTAAAATTTTTGCATCTAAATTTGTGTATTTGGTCCAAATTATCTAGCTGTACATCGAAAAACAACAAAGTAGGTCACTAGGTAAAAATCAAGATTAGCTGATATTTAAGTACAGTTTTAAATCTAAATTTTACGCACATGGTCCAAAATTTAAAGCTGTCATTCATAGAACAAAATGTATGTCACCAGGTCAAAAACTAGTTCAGCTGGTATTGTCAGTTCAATTTTACATCTTAAACTGTGCATTTGGTCCAAAGTTCAGAGCTATACATCAAAGAACAAGAAAGTAGGTCACTATGTCAAAATATATGTCAGCTGATATTAAAATTTAATGTTACTTGCCCAAAATGTTGTTTTGTCCAAATATGAAGATAATCCATATAGATGTTACCAAGTTGACAATTGAACCAAAACTAAATAACTTGACCTTGAGGGTCAAGGTCATTTAACACTCACCGTCAAGGTCAGTTCAACCTTGAATAAGGTCTTGTCCAAAAGATTGTTTCTTCTAAGTATGAAGATAATACAGCCCAATGTAGCATAACTCAGAGAAAATTAAATAATTTAAATTTTAAGGTCATGGTCATTAATGAGACAAGGCCAATTGGAGTTTAACTTACATGAAGGTCTAATTTGAAGGAATGTTTTTTTTTTCATATGAAGAAAATCCACTCATTAAGAACAGTTATAGCCAGTTACAGCCAAAAAAGAAAAGAAATGGAAAATTTAAAAATTTGACCTTCAAGGCCAAGGTCATTTATAAGTAAAGGTAAAGCTCTGTCTGGTTAACTTGAAGAAAAGGTATTTACTAGAAAATTGTAATGTTAATGTTTGAAGACAATCTATTTAAAAATAACAAAGTAATAGCCACTAAAAGCAAAAAATCAAACAAAATTAAGACTGTTAACATTGAATAACTGTCACAATACCTCGATTTTTATTTTATTTTTAAAAAGTCGGGCAAAAGATGATACGTATAAACAAAAATAAATAATATCACTCAACTCAAAGCAACTCAAAATCTCGGCGTCTTAATAGTTTCATTCCTTGCAAAGTCTGACACTGAGTTATGATCTCATGATATTTCGCGTCTTAAAAATGTATCAGGAAATGGATATAGAGTGGATAAAATGGAAACCTTCTAGGTTTCCAAAAGGTTTCCAACCTAAAAGGTATTTGTTTCTTTTGACTTTTTCCAACTTAGATTTTTCCCAGTATTTCTACTTAAATATTGTCTTATCACCCTTAGGATATAGTGCCTGCTTTAAAAGTTTGTCTTTTGACGTCTTTTCTGTGGTATGCATGCTCCATATCCTCCTTTCCTCTTTCAAAATTCCGTTTTTGTTT